CTCTCTGTCTCTCTCTCTCTGTCTCTCTCTCTCTGTCTCTCTCTCTCGCTCTGTGTGTGTGTGTGTGTGTGCCAATGAACTTAATTGAGGTTAAGGTTCCTTACATGAATGAGCAAGGGTAAAGGGTTATTTATAGGATCATGATTTCCTTGCTACTGAAGAAAATTGCTCTCTCATTAACTGCCTATAGATTCTCAGGGAGAGGTTCGTACTTTACAAACTCCTGCCAGCCAGTGGCATGGCCTACACTGCCTCAGGGAGGGAGAAGGCCTTATGAGCCATTGACCCTGTATGACAAAACACAGATGATTCCATTCTTATGCAGTCAATCACAGCTATTGAGAATTCAAGAGGGCCATAGGTATGCCTGGAAGGAAGAATTCCACAACATTACATCCCATTCTGCTCTTATAGTCTCCCTGTCCCTTCTTCTACAGTGTTCCCGGAACCTTGGAGGGATGATTTAAACCTGAGTGTTTAACAGTCACTTATATTCAGCACATTGACTATTGATGAGTCTTTTCACTAACTGCAGCTCACTGCCAAGGAAGCTTTTCTGGTGAAAGCTGACAGCACTGCTAATCTTGGGATAAACAGAATGTTTAGCATGTCTGTTTAGCTAAACAGCAGCCATAGCTTGCACATTAGGTTAGGAAGACTCACGTCTGTCCTAACAAAAGGCTTTTTGGTGAGGTTTACACTATCAGACAGGAACAGACTTCAGATCTAAGCACAAAGTGTTTGGTTGCTCCCCTGCCACTCCTGCCACTAGAGTACTGGTAGGCATGTCTTGCCTGGAGGATTGGTCCTGTGACACACAGGCCTCACAGTTGAGTAGGACTGTTGTTGACAGTTCTTTCCCAGCAGATGGCACTGTGCCTTCTGATACAATGGAGAATAGCCAGTAGTGAAGATGCTTGTAGGTCAGTTTCAGTTTGATTCTCAGAGTCTTGGAACCAAAGTATAACATGAGTTTGGAGGATACTTCTTGTATCCAAACCATAACAGATGATTTCTTAAAGGAAAGATAATTTCCCTTTAATAAACATGGAACTCTGCTAAGAATACAAAATGTTTGAGCAAAATTTACGTATCTAGGGAAGTACTAAACTTCTAAGAAGAGACCATTATGCTGGGATATCATTTCCTCCTAGTCCCTAGAAGACAGATGCTTTGTTCAACTTGAATTCCTCCATATTCTGGCTTGCAGTCTTCAGCACCTGATGTTTTATTTATTTACCTTAGTATCTGTATAAGCATTATCGTGTGTGTGTGTATTTGTGTGTTCTGTGAAATGGCAATTAGAATGACCACCTGGGTTCATGTACTTGTTCTCTAAGACTTCTTTAAACAGTGCTATGTATTTAAGTCATGCTGTACATCCATTGATCATTTGTTGGATAGTTGTGATGAAACTCGGAAAAATATCCTGTGCTCCTAAAGCATGGTAGAGTAAAATGCTTAAATGTTGTTACTCAAATGGATGCCCAACCACACACAATGCCATGCTAAGAGCTTGCAGATAAGCATCTGGGAGCAGGTAGAAGTAGTACCCTAGAAATGGGAGACAATGAGTGAGTTTTTTCTCCTCTTTCTGTTTTATTACAATGTGATCAATCACGTTATTTTAATAGTCTTTAGCTACAGTTTAAGCAGCCAAAAAGAAAGGACTAAATATTTTGACAAATTTTATAGTAGTGAGTAGATGCTATGAGTGTATTCATTTGCATTGAAATCGACTCTGGGTGAAGTTATTTCTATTTTTTCTGGTTTATAAAACTATGTGACACATATTTATAATGGTATTTAATGCAGGTTTGTTCCTGTAGGAGGACAGTTGGCTGAAGTTCATGGAAGAGTTAATACTAAAGGAAGGCTTTAAACTCCTATGAGACAAAGTAGACCTGAGAGGTATAGCCTTTTCAAGGCTGCCTTCTGCCCTGCTTTTGGGCATTACCAGGAGGATTCAACCACCTAAAATGTGGTGAGCTGCAGTGACATCTTGATTAAGTATATAACCATGATGTAAGACCTTATGAGAGAAAATGTTTTACACATTCGAAGGAAGTGAGCTATGCTAGAAGTGTCCCGACATCCTTCTTACTATTGTTCTAACTTGTGACAATAGAGATTATTTTTAGTAGTATTCATAACAAATGCTATAAATTATTAGTATCTAGTGGTAGTTCTCCAGTGTGCATTCTCCTCCTTAGTCTCTCAGTCTGACTTTGTGTTATCCTGACCTTGAATGGCTCCAGGGATAGACCAGATAGAGAAAAGGGATAGAAAAGAGATATGGAAAAAAGCTGTGCTCAGAGTAGTTTGGGCTTTCAGATGGAGAAGCCTCAGCATCCTGGAAAGTTCCAGCATGTTTTTTGTATACAGTTTATCAGAGAGGTGGGGTTATACAGATGACCATGGAGGCAGGGTTATTATTATACCCAGCTGAATAAGGAGGCAGGGTTATTATATTCCACTGATCAAGGAGGTATGGTTATTATGTCCAGCTGAATAGGGGGTAGTTGTAGCTAATCTTGGTAGTAGGAACAGTCTCTATAAGGGAACTTTTTTTTTTTTTGGCTGTGACTATCCAGGGGGAGGGGTGGTGTTGGGTGTTGGGAGAAAACTCTGGTGGACATTTTTTGACTGTCAGTAACTACACATAGACTAGAGGAAGGCTTTGCCATCCCTCCATGTCTTACCCTAGGGAGAAGGCTTTGCTATTTCTCCACTGGTCTGAGGCTATGGTCCTTGACATGGCCATTCACGTGTCAACAGCACACATTCACTCAGAACTGCGTTACTTAGGGTATCCTCCACTTCCCTCATAATGAGGCATACAGTTTCCTGTAGTTTTAAGGCAAGTAGGGTCTTAGAAGACTGAAGTTAAGTGGTATGAAAGAGTTCTGGCCTTGGGAATACTACTTAAAAGTTACCTGGATACATACTGTGATGTTAAACA